TCTCTTTCTCTCTCTCTCTCCCTTCTCTCTCCCCCTCCCCTCCCCCTCCCTCTCTCCCGAGTCTCTCTCTCCCTCCCTCTCCCTCCCTCTCCCTCGCTCTTTCCCTCTCTTAATCATGAGAGCACACGAGACCATTAAAATTTACAATAATTAATTTTTTCCACCGAGATGCTCGTCATGTGCAACATTTTAGGGGGTGTTCATTTGTTCCTCTGTCTTGAAAGAAATTTTCATCCCCCCCCCCAAAAAAAGGGAAAAAATCAAAGCGAACAAATTTATAGCGAAGGCCAACTTTGATTATTAATATACTTACTTACTACCCATTACGCCATCTGGCGTTTAGGGCAGGAACAAAGGATGTCCAGCTCTGTCTGTTTTGGGTCATCTTGGTCAGCGTTCCCCACGAATGATTCCAGGACTTCATTTCTGACTCTACTGTGTGTCTCCAGCTCATTTTGGGTCTGCCCCTTTTGCGACGTCCTTTGGGTGTCCAGTGGAGGGCAGTCTTCAGAAAAGAGTCTGGTTCTCTTCTCAGAACATGTCCTATCCATCTCCCATCTTCTCCTTTTTATTATGATGGTAATGTCCTCTTGCCTACATTTTTGTAACAGATCTGCGTTGGAAATCTTGCCGGGCCAGAAGATTCTGAGTATTTGGCGTAAGCTGGTTGTATGAAAAGAAGATAGCTTGGCACAGTCATGATCAGTCATCCTCCTGCATTCAGCTCACAGCTCCATATTATTATATAGGGGTGTGGATAGTACACAGCTGTTATACAGCTTTAACTTGGTTTGTATACTAAACTGTCCTGACTTCCTGATGTTGATCATGCTTATTAACACATTTATTAACATAAGTACATCGAGATTAAAAAAGAAAAGAAAAAAAAAAACCCAACAACAACAAAAAGGAAACCTCCTATAGATCTAATCCTCTAAAAACCAACCAAGCTGCCTCCGACCACACTTTTAGCAATGTGATTGAACAAACGGTTACACCAAGACGTGGCAATGGCCATTGATCTATTTTTTATTTTTTTTAATGTAAGGGTATCAACACAATTTTAGATCACTTAGGAGGCGGACTTCGATCCTGCCTGTCAGGACCAGCCCGGGCTGAAAGGGATACATCATACATGCACAGCGTCCCAGCAGATTCGGATATGCGAATTAAAAAAAAAATTATATCCCCAATGAAATCGAACTTGGAACTTCTGCGAGCTATGATGATTACGACAGTGCTTAATCGCTACACCGCAGTGGCCATTCAAGGGAGGGGGGGGGGG